CTCTGTGTCCGTGTCATATGCCAGCGGCCCGCCTGCCGGGGCGCGCAGAGAGAGAGGTGGTTGAACGTCGACGCCGCGCGAAACAAACAACCGCGACAACCGCAACTGCGCCGCCCGCCCCCCGGGAAAAAAGGTACAAACGCGCCAACCCAGCCAGCCCCCCAAAAAAAGGCCGTTCGAAACGGGCCGCCACGTCTAAACGCGCGCCTGGATTCACGAGCCTTCGAAGCCGCGCCCTGCAAAATAGGACGTGAGGAAATGTGCACTAAACGACAAAAAAAAAACAAAACGAAACGCTGCACAGCGCCTGTCCCATCCAACCGTCGTCCGACACTCATTTTTCCTGGGGCCAGGGGAACCGACGTCCGGGGCCCTATCCGTCCTTTAGTAGTTAGATAGTTAAAAATGCATGAAGAACAACTTCATCCTCAAGAAAAACGAGAAAAAGGAGGAGGTTCATCCTGTGGCAAGAAAGTATGTCATCCATGAAATTTGTCAACTTCACTTGAAACAGAATAACAATATAAAAACCAACGGGCCTAGCTCAGTTGGTACACCCACAAACCGTTGAAATACATATCCAAGTTTGAATCCAGATAGTGGCAGATGGCCGAAGAAAAAATAATAATAGTCAACCCCATTTCCCTGGTCATGGTAATGTGAGTGCTTACACTGATGACACTGTAATTATGATGGATAAAAGGTATCATGAAAGGTCCTAAACATATTCCTTGTTTCGTCCATCTCCATCTCCATCTCCATCTCCGTCTCCGTCTCCGGCTCCGGCTCCGGCTCCGGCTTCATGTCCATCTCCATGTCCATCGCCATCTCCGCGTCCATGTCCATCGCCATCTCCATCTCCCTCCCCTTCGCCATCTTCATCTTCATCTCCATCTCCATCTCCATCTCCATCTCCATCTCCATCTCCATCTCCATCTCACTGCCTCCTCCTCCTTGTCCTCATTCTTTTCCTGTTCTCATTTTGCTTACCATCTTTCACCCTCCAAAGTGTTTCCAATATTGTCATGCTGTGGTTGTAGCCTTATGATTCCTTTTGGTTTTCTGATTGGCTGCACTTTGTGTTTTCCTTGCGAATATGTCATTCCCGATCTTCGTCTGTATGCAGGGAGAACAACTGGATCATGTGGCCCCTTCGCTCCAGTGTGAGTTGGAAACTATGCAACGTTACAATCCTTTAAATAATTTTTATTGTTATTATTATTATTATTATTATTTTTTTTGGGAAAATTTTTGAAATGCCCCTGAAGTTTGCGTTTATTTGCGATTTGCCCCTCCGACAACCGACTTACCCTGATTTGCCCCTCCGACAACGATTCAAGTTTCCAAAAAACCCCTGGCATCAATTGGGCCTGATATGTTCAATATGCCCCTACCGGTACCAGTGCCAAATTTCCAGTATGCCCCTACCGGAGAGCCGATGGGTACCAGTGCCAGATTTCCATGCTACGTCAAGCCAACTCCTACCGTCTATAATGGTATGTTCACGGCTGTACATTACCCTCCTACCTCCACATCTTTCACACACACACACACACA